CTGCCTCCGCGTTTGTAAGAGATTGGAACCAGTTTCTCACAATATAGGTATCCATGTTTGGTGAACTCGACTGTCCAAAGTCCTTCACCTTCGTATCAAATAGTGTTTTTTCCTGCAACACACCGTCGATGGTAGGAGTAGATGGACGCAGGGACCACGGTGCCAGGGGCCGTTTTCAGGACCTTTATGATGCTCCCTGGACGACTGGCTGGGGTCAACGCTGGGCCATGAGGAGAGTTGGCAACTGGGGATGTCAACGGATTGTATTGGAAGGACAACACCCATTTCGGGGGTACGTGAAAGTATACGCATCTACTGCGGTCCCCATGTTTTTTGCATGCTCCGCGGTGGTTCCATCGTTTTGAGTGGAGGTCGCCAGTGGGAAAAACCGTGGAGTGGTCACGCCGAGGCAACGATGGAAAGTTCTTCATGTCCTTGGAGGATTGGGGCAAAAGCTTCAATGCATTGACCGTGTGTCACTTGGCCCACGCAGCATGGTGGCTTCCTTCGCTGGGACAGTCCCCGCGACCAGACGGGGCAGACGGGGATCGGGTCGGCCAGCGCATGAGCGTTGGGCGCCCGACCTCCAAACAGGTCAAGAATAGTCGTCGACTGCAGCTTAAAACGTTGTCTCCTGTGGTTTCAACGAGTCTAACTTTATTATCTTTAAATTGTGCATGGATGTGCGCGCGGAATTTCAAAGCCTGCTGATGATTCCGCTGGAAGATCATTTTTTCTTTGTCCTGACCATTCTCTTAAGGCCTTCCTTTATAAATTGAAAACCTCAGCAGATATTCAACCGGTATGATATCCATGTGATGGTTTTTGCCGGATGAACCGTCTCCAACGAGGCCCCATTGGTGAAAGGACTTTAGAGACCGGGGGCACCACGCACGACTTGTCCGAAGAGCTCGAGGATGAGGCTTCTGCAGGCGCACCACGTCTCTTCTTGGACAGCGATGATGCTTGATTAAAAAAACCATGGAACTGGAATTAGGACAAATTTAATGGTGTAGTGTAGGCCGTTTGGAAGATACATAATATATTCATTTCCCAGACACTTTTACGAATATACGTGAATATTTTTAAACTATGCCTGCATTTATCCCCCAAACCACCCAATGTATAGGTACATATGCCAAATACGCGAAGTGTTTGGATCTTCGCCATGAGATCCGTGCAAACACCAGCCATCTTTGCTGAGGATGAATCCGAAGGCCCCAAGGAATGGATCAACTGGTGAAAGCGCGCGTGGCCCTGCCGGTGAGAACCATGGGAACCAAACTCGCGTGGCGCACGACTCGTGGCTGGGCGGTCCAAAGACGACCCGCTGCAGTTGATTTTCCTTCAATCCCCCGGCGGCAGTTGGGTTCTCTCAAACGAGAGAGCCTTTGATAAGGCATCGTCCGGAGCTATAGGAAGCTTCGTGTTTCACGAGGTATCACAGTAGCACCATAATATGCACCAATCCCAAACGCATCCAACGAATCATCTCGGATCATCCAAAAAGCCGGATTCCACTCCAACCTGTGGCTGTTCCTCTTGGCTGCAAAGCTAGCTCCATGTCTGCAGCCTTTGCTTTCTCTTCCCGCCTTTTTTTGCCCCTCTTGTGCTTGCCAGAACCTGGCTGTGTTTTTTTTCCTTCTTCTTTTCCTTCTCTTCCTTCTCTTCCTTCTCATCCATGAGATTGACCTCTAACATAGGTTTGTGAATTTGTTCCTGTGAGTATCGTGTTTCTGCCATGACATGTGTCTTGAGCGTTTCTCTGTGTTCTCTGAAATTCAAGTGTGACTTGGTTCTTGTTTGGTGCTCTCTTCTAGGATTCGTTAAGGGTTCATCTCTGGGATTCGTCCTTGAGGCAGCCTTCAACATGACTTGTTTGACTGAAATTTGTGGTTGACTTGATTTCCGTTAAACTTTAAACCGCACTTTTGTGATTTTCTTGAGAGGTCCCAGGTCCCTTCTCAGGTGTTCATTCACTTTTTTGCATTCATCTTTGAGATACGTGTCATTTAACATCAATGAGGGGATTTTTTCTCTCAGAACTTGTTCCTTGTAATTCATGGCTGAACTCTGTTCCTCGGAGGATAACGAATGAACGTAATGGATGGGAATTTACTTTTTTTTCGACAACCATGTTGATGTCTTTTGTTTTCTCTGTGGAATGTAGTATATCTTGGAGATTTCATACTAGCTCTTGGCTAAGTATCCACTCTATCGATTATGTTCACTTGACATTGGCACACTAACCTCTTGTGAGCGATGGTGGCATTTTGATTTGATCGGTCGTATTCCTTTGCTTGTTTTTCAAAAACAATTCAATGTGTCAGAGCAATGAAAAATCCGGATTCAAGAAACACCACGAAGAATGGGGACCATGAGGGACATGGGAAGAAGGTTCCTGGGAACTTTGGGAAGGTCAGGGCAACGATATGCCAAACACGGTCGAACAGAACTGCAAAATTAATTTGCAAAACACACAACACAAAGAGAAAAGAACACACACAAAAAAACTGAACGTGTTTTCAAACACAAAACACCACAATTGAAAAATGTTCGCATAAGATGTGTTTGGAGGTTTTTGGTTTCGGTGATGTTCCAGGAAAATCGCTGAACAAATCCTGGTTCAAGAAGAAAATCCAGTGAGAAGGACAACAGCATGTCTAGAATGTTCACACGGTGCTGCTTCAAACAATGTTTGTGGCATTGTGCGCTTTCTGGTTTGTGTTTTTTTTGCAGGACAAGGCACCGTCATGTGTGTTAGGCGCCAAAGTTTGAACTAAGGAATGTGCATAAAGATTTGACCCGATCTTTTTGTTTTTTCTTTTGCGGTCTCTCGATGATACACCCTCCCCCACTACATAGTTTGTTCAGATGTGATTTGATTTGGTGGGTCCAAGTCGTATACATAGTTGATTCAGATGTGACTTGGGAGGTCTCAGTCATAGATAGTCTATTCAGATGTGACTTGGGGGATCTCAGTCATAGATGATTAGTTTATTCACATACTATTTTTTTGTTGGGGCCAACACATAAATAGACATGACTTGAAACCCAGTGCATTGGCCAAACCATTCCTGGAAAGAAGGTAATTAGTAGCGCTCAAGAGAAGCACCTCACTCAAGTTAGCCCTAGATGCCACGAATTAGCCCTAGGGCCCAAGAATCGCTGGTCACCACTTAATCTCCAACCCCTCAGCTCAATCACCCACGGCCACAACCCATGCTCCCCCAGAGCAAGTCACCACTTAACCTCAAAACCCTCAGCTCAATCATCAATGGCCACAACCCATGCTTCACCAGAGCCAGTCACCATTTAACTTCAAGCCACTCAGCTCAACCACCAACTTGAGCACAAGAATAGCCAGCCATCACACTCTTGTATGTCACTCTTGTGGGGCGCTCTTGTATGACACTCACTCGTGTGGGACACCCTTGCGGAACACATTTGCAGGACACTCTTGCGAAACACTCTTGTAGGACACTCTTGTGGGACACACTTGTGCAACACTCTTGTATGTCGCTCTTGTGGGACACTCTTGTAAGACGGACACTCTTATGGCACACTCTTGTGGGGCACTCTTGTAGGACACTCTTGTCGCAGACCCCAGATGCAACGAATATACTTCAGATACCACGAATATTGTTTGGCGGAGTCTTAGCCACTGTCACAAATTCCAGGTCGCGCCTCCATGTAGGGAATTCAACCTTCGACCGTGTAGCCTGCAGCAATGATATTCCACAAATCTCAAAATTGAACAATAACAGACGCAAAAAGCAAGCTGAGCAAAGGACACGCTGCACTTCTTCCCTTTTGCCTTCCTCTGGTTTGCGGCGGCGACAATATGTACTTCCCCAACAAACATGTCTCAGATCAATATGCTGCAAACAAACACCCAAGCCTGCCCCCTGGAAAAGGTGCGAGTCACAGTCATGAATGAAGCCAAAACGGCTGCAGAAGAAAGGCTCAGAAGAGGAAACCAAGGACCAACATACCAACACCAAATGACCCCTTGAGTACCTGACCACCACCCCCAAGGAGGTGCAAACAAAAGCCCGAACAGCTGCGGAGAACATGTATATGAATGTAGTGAAATGTTGTGAATGGCCTCATGAACATGTAAAATTCATAAACACAACAAGATGCAAAACAAACCATGAACGTGCACATGTCGTGAAACCTGACATGTCATGAATGTCATGAATGTGTACATGAACCCTAACATTTCATGAAATGTCACGAATGCGCACATGCCTCCTGACATGCAAGTTACCACCAAACACAGCAAAACCGCCAGCGCAATAGAAATCCACTCACACCAAACTCATTCTTAGGGGGATATAACCAGGAAATGAACCATTTCCTATCGAAATCCCTCCATTTCTGGTTTCCAGCTCAAAACCTCCAGAAAGGTACATCTGGGTAGAGGCATACGACTCGAAGAGAAGTCGCTCCTGCTAGTGGCGTACCGCAGTTCCTTCATGCCACACCATATTCATGCAATACTGCATTGACCTTTTGTAGCTTGGATTGAGGGAAGCACTCAGATTGCCTTTGATAAGGTTTTAAAAGCATTAGTATGCAAGAAGGCAAACATGTTCCCGACAGATGGGCTTCCAGCTCCAAGACAAGCGCACCTCGTGACAGCAAAGAGTTAGAAGCATGGACCGGCAGTGGCTTTGCTTTCCTTCACTTAATAGAGCCCAAGCAAATATGCCGCTGTGCCATACTGTGCCGCATTTCAAGAGCTGCTGCACACCTGTTGATGTCAATCGATGATGTAAAAAGGCGCTTCTGGAGGGTCCTGGGATTTGAGGGACTTCTGAGGAGTTCTGGTCATTTGGGATGGCTTTTGTTTTGTGATCTTGTGCTATTTCACCGTTCCACCTCAGCGACGTGTGTTTTCCCTTTACGAACCGACCCGGTTCCACCACCGGTAGGTACCGGGCCGGGCCGAGGCGACGTCCGACGGGTCCGAAGGGCGAGTCGTTGTCCGCCAGGCGCCGAAGCTGAAAGAACACCTCAGGCGCCGGAGCTGTGGACGTTAAGTCGATCCCCAGGGATCCAGGAGACCGAACCTCAGGTGGCTGGTGATATGTTCTTTATCTGTTCTTTGGTGCCAAAAACGTCGGGTCTAGGAGGATACCGAACCTGAGAAGGTATATCCATGGATCCCTTTTTATTACAGCAAATTCTTTCATTCCCCGAAGCCACTCATGCCATCAACGGCGTTCAACGACGAAATCCTCAACATGAATGATCGTTAATTCATTGTCCACTCCGCTGGATGGAGAATGATGCGAATGCGATGCGATTCTTTATATTACGTTTTTTGTTTTTTCGTGGAGGGGAGGCCGAATTCGGAAAATCCGCGGAGGTCTCCTGAGGGACTTTGCTCCCGGATCCTTAAACGTTCGGCATCCGAACGTTTCGGTCGTTGAACACATCACATGGAAGTGGATGGCGCACCCCCCGTGATTCTTCCGATCATTCTCCACTGCCATGTTAGCGAGTCAGAGCGTGGCCATGTCTCTCCGCATTTTGCCCGGTCTGCCGGGTCTCGATCGTCCAGGCCGGGGAAGTCGCTCGAGGAAGTGAAGACCGACGTACCCGAGGCGTGGAGATCGGCTCGGTTGGAGTCTTCCAGCTCTTTCGGTTTTTCGTTTCCCAGACGCTGATGGACCCGAACCAACTGCTACATGTTTGAGGTCCAAAACCCTAGTTGTGAGGGTCAAGACCCTAGCTGCTAGCTATGAGGGTCCAATGAGCCTTTCGTTTAGAAGTATGCGTGAGGGATTATTTTTTGATAGCCTCCAAAGCCCCCGAGCATATCGCATGGGCCCGAGCACAGCATTTGAAATTTGCTGTCGCACTTTCTCTTGTCGTTTGTATTCTACATCATCTCGAATCCCGGTCCAGTGACAAGACCATCTTGCGTATGGCGTATTACTATGAATGGATTGATGGATGAATGGCCGTTGAACACAGCGGGTGGCTCATCAACCATGTGGGCCTGCCAGCATGGCCTTCGGTCGGAGCTTCTCCCTATGAAAACAGGGGTCCGGGCATGTCCGGGCCATGTCATGTATTTGAGGGTCAGGAGTCTTCAGGAGAGCGCGATACTTCCAATCGAACACCTTCAGCGTTCTTCGTCCGGAGCGGTCGGTCGACCGTCGTGGCACCATCGCCGCCATCCACGACCGGTCGCTATGGAAGCACAATGTGGATTGACTATTGCCTGGGAACAAGGCATGTATATCGCAAATTGGTAAGATCATGTAAGATGTATCTGGTACTTCATTGTTTTTCTTGAAGGTTCCACATTTGAGTGGCATTGATTTGTTTGGTTGTTTTTGGTACCTGCCACGAGCACGTGCTGCTGCTGCCTGCAGGTCTGTGATACACTTCGTCCCAGGCGCGTTGGACCGGTATGATACAGATGTGATGCTTCAGCGCAGGTTCTGCAGGAGATCTTCATGTATCCCTGCTTATGATTCCATCACTTACTTGTCAACACATGTGGGGAGAACAGGAAAGGACCCCTCCAAAAGACGTTCTGGCCAGGAACATGGGGGGAGCAACAGTCCGAGTGCTCAGCATCCCCTCAGCGTGATCGTCGATTCGAGCCCCGACCGTTGCGCTTCCGTTTCGGGACCGTTTCGGGACCGTTTAGCTCGGTCGGAGACTCCGAAGCGGTCCATCCCTTTCCCGGTCCTGGCCCACATCCCCGGGTGAAGGTGGTTGGGGTGGGTGCTGGTTGGGGGTCGAATACTACCGAACCATGTGGGGCGATCGGAGCCCTATAGGGTTTATATAGGAGGGTCTTTGATGGTTTGGTGCGAGAAAAGTTGCGCGTCGCTTGGAACATGCTGGGTACGAGACCTCAGGATCGACCTAGCCTGGCGCAGCTGGCACCCATGCTGTGCCTGGGACGACGAGCGACGTCCCGCGACGACCCCCGACGTCTCACCGAACACAGCGAGGCGTGCCATGACGTGGCATGACGTTCTTTTTGGGGGTTTGAGGTGGATGGTGTTTGGCACCAGAACACGAGCTCCTCAGTTTTCCTATCACTTAGTGATTTAGTTGTTCAGTTCATGTTTTTCCACACTTGTCGTGCCCCCGCAAAGCTCCTCGCACAATTTGGAATGGCGGTTATAGTTTTAAAGTGCAAATAATCCTGAAAGGTTATATATAAAAAGTTCAAGGGTCACAGATCATGATCATGTACATACAGCATCTTGGAGATAACCCCTTCTCGCTAAGGCACGTCTTTTTTATTTTAAACGGTCGATTTGCGTGCTTTCATGTCATTTTTTAATGGTCGATGGGAGTGTGCATCCAGCGTAGGAGATCGTAGGAGGCATGGCAACTCTCGACAGTTCGCTGAAATTGGCCCAAATTGGAAGCTTACGGCCCTGGGATTGGACAATTACAGTAGTGAGAAAGACTCGACGATTCAAGCCGTTGAGCACCTTGAGCATCCAACTGGCGATTCCTATACAGCATTGAACAACACGACTGATGGTACTGGCACAACCGATCAGTTGGGGTGGTTTCAGAAGCCAATGTATCAAGTCCCATGGAGTGTTTGGGATTGAACAACCCTTTACCGGATCCACGGCCACTTCACCGCTGAGGCAGCAACCGCCGCGGCGCCGGCTACGACTTGCAGGCCGAGGGTTAAATGGTCACAACAAACCAGACCCAGACACTCCATGTATGGCCTTTTTACGGCATATAAATATGCATATATAAACCATGGTGGTTTCAAGGGTCAATGTATGGAGAAATTGTAAAGTTATGTCAATATGCCGGTCCCATGGAGTGTTTGGGCCACATATGGAAGCATATATATAATATAATATTTATATATCATATAATATATATAAGTATATGCTAGCCACCCCCACAAAAACCTATGTTTCTGAGTGCTGGTGTGCAGTTGGTAAGCATATTTGTTCATTTAACTATGTACTACAAAAATGTCCAAGTCCATAAGGTTATGTGTTTACTAAACAGTTCTTGGATGGAGTAATCTAATTCATTATTGCAACTCCATGCAAAACCATATGTCTTGTTTTTAGGGTGTGAATTGTACTGCTCTTATTGAATGCAGTTGAGCAAGTACATCATAATCAGAAGGCAAAGAATTGCAAACCCTAAATAACTAAATTCCAGTCTAATTCCAATTAAACTTCAATTCCAACCTATTCAACTCTACTCTACTTTGTATATTCAAATTCAAATTTGAGTCTATTTCAATTAGTTGTAAGTTATATTTTGATTCAATCGTCTATCACTATAGATTCTAATTTACATGGGATTCAATGCAAGCCCAATTGTAATTTGGTTTCAAGCTAATTCTAACTTCATTGCTATACAAGTCAGATTCAAATCTAATAGTGTATTCTTTTTCAATTTATATCGTTTTAATTTGAGTGAAATTCTCATTTACTTCTAGAGAAGTGGTGTTACTTTGAACATGAGAGATTTTATGTGGTTTTTTCCAATATAGAAGAATGTGCTTTCTTAAATGAATTAAATTCACCACCAGCAACACCCACTCTCTAGAATGACACCAAAACTGAATTAGAAGTCCATGTGCATTGAACTAGAATCAAAATAGGATGAAATTAGACATATAGAAACCAAACCTAATTTGCAATGACAATAGTGTAAAATTAGATGTGTAAAACAATTGAATCTGAACCGTATAAAGGCATTAACATTAGAATTTAATTACTAGTAAATTGGAAGAGTCAAAGTTACAATTGAACCCAAAATAGAATGAAATAGAACTAAATTAGAAGTAGACTAGAATTAAGTTAGAGTTGAAAGAAACACATTGAATAATAATCCATTACTTAAATTGAAGTTGACTTAGAACTAAGGTAGAATTGAATTAGAGTTGTTTTACCTAGAGCTTGGTTAGTAGAACAGTATTGACTTAGAACTAAATTGAAATCTAAGTTCAATTAGAATTGAACTAGATCTAATTTGCAATCTCAATTTGATTTCAATTATATAAAGTTCAATTAGGATCATTTTCTATTTAAATTAGAAGCACGTTGCAGATTCAAATTTAGATTCAAGTTTGAATTCCATTAGATCTAAAATAGCCAAAAATAATTAGAATTAAAATAGAAATGAGTAAATTAGAATAAAAACTGAATTAGAATTTGTCTACACAATGAAGTTAAGCTAAATAGACTTAAATTAGAATTCAATTAGGCTCAACTTAGGCTTAAAGTAGAACTATGTTACATACTCAAATTAGAATCCATTTAAAGTTCAATTAGACTTCAATTAGACTCAACTTAGAAATTTAAATAGAAATACAAGTGATTTTAAATTGGAATAAGCATTGACTTAGAATTTAGTTAAATTGTATGTGCACTAAAATTCATAGAAGTAAATTAGAGTTGAATTAGTTGTTAATTAGAATTGAATGAGGAACAAACGTCGGTAATCAGTAATATTCCAGGATCAATCTGTACTTAGTGCAATTTTGTCGCTACCAGAGAATGCCAGAGAATGCATTCCTGCCCAAAACCAAGATCCAAGATCCAAGATTTGCACAGAAGTCTTGTGGAAAATCTTGGATTTGGGAACATCCTGCCCAATACCAAGATCCAAGATCCAAGATTTGCACAGAAGTCTTGTGGAAAAGCCATCCCAGAAAATGAGCTCGAAAAGCCAATCGTCTTTTGGTTCCAGAAAAGCACATTGGGATGCTCATGTGTCCCGTTTACATGAGCAACTGCGCAGTGTGCCCACTGGTGGGCTTGTAGTATAGGATCCGAGGGATCACCCATGGCGGGTGCTAGAATCAAAGACAAAATAAAATGTGTCCTCAAATCATTTAATCCCGACGTCATAGTCTTGTCCCATTTCTTTGAATATGTATGTATATATATACATATCTCGATAAAGGCTTTCACAAGATAGCACCCAACATGTTTGATAGACACACATTTTCTGCTTACTACCCCTTGAGCCTGGCTGACCAAATCTAGGCTTACATATAGGTCCGCTCAAAACTCCCAAAAAAACAGCCCCGAGCAGCTGTGGTAAGCAGGATTTTTTCTGCCTACTGGTTGTCCGTGACTATATATATATAATATGGTACCCCAAAAAAAACTAAGGACCAAAAGGCAACCAAAAATAGACACAACATATTGCAAATACCAGCAAAAGTGAGGTGAACATAGGTTTTTTTTGGGGGGTGCCATATATATATATATATGTATATACATATTATGCATATTTAAAATTGACATAGTCTTACAGATTGTCATATGACATCACCTGACATATTGACCTCGTGTTTGGGTAGATCAGTGCCTCTCTTTTTTTGGGTGAACCGCCGGCCTGCGCCGTGACCCGTGGGCCTTCGTCGTGTGGTCCTGCCTTCGGTACTGTACGCCTCCTCACGCCGTGTCTCACAGGGTGTCTCAAGAGTCGGTATTCAGATGTTTTTCAGCCTGTGAGCTGGCGGCCTGGCGGCCTGCTGGACAAATACTTCAACATACTTAATATGTTGTCTACTATATGTCGACTACTAGTACACTGGACTGAAAAAAAGATGGTTGTTTTCCACTGTTGGGCTTCACCCGTTCCTGCTTGTGCCGCCCCTACGACCATGCGCCGCAACCGGGCGCCGCCCGGTTTCGGGCGCCGCCCGGTTTCGCGCCGCTGCGAGTCGCGAGGCGAGCGAACCATCACCGAGGAGGAGGCGGAGTCGAGCTGTGGGATTGGTAGGGCGGGTAGGTGGGCGAATGTTTCTGGGTGGTTGGACGGGTGGCAGGGTGGTCGGTGGAAGTAAGGCAAGCCTAGAATCTCAGAAAGTCCAAAGACTGGATCTATGCCTGTATGCACCATTGGAGTAAAGATAGTAAAGGACGTTTCCCTTTGAGGTCACCGAAAGACCAGTTTTTTAATTAGACATTAGGCTTGAGTCGGAGGTCTGGTCGCAACAGCTGGACTTGTGACATCAGCTTGTGCTTGGATGTTGCATTCTTTGGAAAGACTCGTCTGGGACGGCAAAAAGACATTTAGAGACCGATGCCTTTCATCCCACATTGGGACCAATCCCTTGAGATCCACTGGGTGTTCTATAGGAAACCACACAAGACCCAGCAATGAGCCGGGTGAACTGTGGAGATAGAACTGCATGGGCATGACTCGGCATGACGCCATAGTGATCTCCTCCACTCACTCCGGATCTGGTAGCCTTGATCCTACTAATTGGGGGGGCCCCCGTACTTCAGTCGGGGCCCAGACAGGAAGCGGCATAGATCGACCGTTTGGAGTCTGGAGTGTCTTGGGTCCATTCCCAGTGAAATGGATCTCCGACACCGACAGACCTGGATCACGGTTCGGAGGCTGAAAGCTTTTCGGTCTCCTCGCGTCCGTTTTGGGGAAAAAAAAACGCCACGATGTCTCAGTCTCGTCATACGCCACAGTCCTTAGTATTTTTTTTTGCGGCAGGTGCAACGCCTGGCGGATGGGAGCTTCGAATTCAACTTCTGACAATCTTTGGATATCTTCAGACCTTCATGTGGCATGTGGGATGCGTGCGACACGCGGAGGGAGTGAGGTATGTTCGTCAGACACTCTTGACACTAGTGGTTCTGAGGGGCGATGATGAGCACAAAACCATCAAAACCATCAAATTTGCTGTGGAGTTGCAGAGAACAACATGTGACCCAGAAGGTTTGCCCATACCTCAACATGAATCCCTGCTGCTTGGCAGCGAGGAGGAGTGTGAGAACGCGATCGTGTGCGCAAAAGGCCCGCAAAAAGACCGCCCACCCTGACGTCCGGCCATTCCCAACGTTCCAAATGGGTACCGTACCTTGGCTCCAATAGGGAGACCGAGCTTTCCGACCGCCCCGGTGTTCGGTTCTGGACCATCGAGTCTACCCTATTCGACCAGCGAGTCTACCCTGTTCGCCAACGACACCCCACCTGGACCACCCTATTCCCCCAAAAGGTGCGGTATTTCAACGCACAGGAACAATGCCATGCTGGACGACACATGCGACGGAAACATGCCATACGCGACTGATTGGGGGCGTCCCCTGAGAGACTTGGACCACAAATACACCGGATTTTTTCAGTGTTTTCTCGGGTGTCTTGGGCTGCAACAGAAACAGCCTGGTCAAGTTGAAGTGCTTTTGTGAGGTGTCCAATATGCTTCAAATTTCCAGTTCGCAAGTTACCTCCGTAAATGTCCGCCATAGACTTGTTTGTGATCTCGTTTGCCAAAGGTTGAACTGGAGAGTGTGCTGTCTAGGTGCGTGTAGGTCCTGTTGCCCCAGGGTCCAGGTCAAGAACAACAAATAATACATTTTTGGCAAAATGTTTGGCATGTAAACAGACACATCTCCCGCAAAAGCATGCTTTTGGACCTACGGCCTTTTCTTTGGCATATAAAAGGTCCTGAGATGTGCCCCCACTTCTTTTTCCGACTCGAGGGTCTTCTCAGGTTCTTTGGATTGCTGTGGATTGGGGATCCACGCACCTTCTGAGAAGGCATGTATGACTGGGCCCTCCCTCCTGGCGCCCCACATCAATAGTCTCCAATCACCTTCTCAGAAAGTACCAGGACCCCCAATGGGTGGTTAATGGACACCCCGAATCACAGCTCAGGGGCTATTTACACACCCCAACAGGAGGGTCCTGGTATGTGGATCCATAGGGCTTCAGATGTTTTGATCTTCTCGAAAGCTGGGATCGTGAAGTGGTGGACGCTTGGTGGATGCATGTGGATCGCAGATCCGCTTTGCTTGACGGGACGCAAGCAGATCGCTGCGCATGCGAAGGGGCGAAAAAAGGCAGACCTGTTGGTGGGCGTTTTGCAAGCAGGTGTTGCTACACTGCCAGCGGCGTTTCTTTTGCCGCCTCCTTTCATCTTACAGATGCCTCCTTCGAACACAAGGGGACCCCAAGCCATGGCTTCGTTCTTGCCTATAGAACAAAACTAACAGAGGATTTCCTCCATTTTGGGACACCTCAAAAGATCCACGGGCCAAATAAGGATCCTCTTTCCATCTCTTTCACCAAGGAAGCACACTCCCAGTATATGGGCCTCTACAGCCCACACAGAGGAGTCACGAGTCGAGGTAGGTGTAGGAGTCTTCAAGAACAGCACAGGTGGCGAGAGCGACAGCAGTCCACATCTCCAATTGCCATCCCCTTCGATTTCGGGTTCATCTCCAATCGCGTTCTTGCGTTCTTGCCTTAGACCTGAACAAGTACAACAACCGTAGACAGTCTTATCAACTGGCAACAGCATTCCGGAGCGATCCTAGGTAGGAAGACCAAGTGAAGCATGCTTGGGCACAGGGCCAGCCGAAGGAAGCACCCTCCGCGCGTTCGCGGTTCTTGGACCAAGAAACCTCACCGAGAGGGGCCGCTTCGCGTCCGACCTGACCCGGCCGCCGACAACGCGCGCGGCGCGTGGCGCCCGCGTGACGCAGCGCCAGGATGAAGGACCAGTCGGAGGACGTGCTGACCGGCTACAGAGATCGGGCTCGGCGGCCAGGCAGAGATCAGTTCAGAACGGCCTAAGAAGAGGAATCCTCACGACCTGATCTGGGTACAGGACAATTGCTTATAACTATATTAAATTGTAGAATAATTGAAGATGTGTAACAGCTAACCAGGTAATTATTTGCTTTACATTGAAATGGGGAAAGGAAGAATGAAGACTTGACTTTAGAACTTTCGAAGGGGGGAGTGCATTTGGGCGGTTGACCTACCTGCACCCTTCCAGCGACGCTGTGCGGAGGGGAGACTGGCACCAGGAAGGTCAACTGGTTGACCTACCGGGTGTCGGGACCCTTCGCTCCGCTCGTACCGACGTGGTCAGAACATCCGATGCAATCATTGGGCATGAAGACGAAGGGACGGTGCTTCAGCACCACGGTGGATTGTGGACCCAGTCGTTTGAGTTCAACAAGTGACAAGTGGTTTTCTGGAACCCCCAAGAACCAGCCAATTCACTTCCTGTTTCCCCATCCAGCCAGTTTTGAGAGACGGAGCCTGAACAACTCCGATTTGGGGCAGCTGCGGCGTGACAAAAGCCGGTCGCTTCTTCCCTGCGGTCGCACGCAGAGGCACCCAGAGGATTTGGGTCCTTTGGGAACTTTGGGGGTGGTTTCCTGCCTATGTACCTCAGCTTTCCTCTTCAGGATCTGATGACAACATCATGAAAGAGGTGGTTTAGCCAGATTCGACATGTTTCGACATGCTTGCTGCTTCCTTGTCGTCTGGTGTGAAATGGTGAGTGATATCCAACCACACTGTTTGGCAGCAAACGCCGAGTTGGCTCCAGAGTTTCTTTGCTTCTCGTTGGGAACACCGGTGAAGCAAGTGGCAACTGCCTGAGACTCACTCACTTTCGCTGCCATGGAAGAAGTGAAACGAGAATCACTTACTTTCTTAACAATCTTCAGTGCGATTGCTGGAATCATGGGTTTCGCAATGCTCATGGTCGGAGTTTGGGCAAGTATTTCGCATGCGAGTTGGAAATGGTTTTGGTTGATAGGGGGCCTGGTTTTATATGTCTTTCACTTGATCGAAGCCACTTGCTTTGACAAGACATCCAAGTATCTGTCTTGGATCCTGACGGAAAAAAGCCTTCCAGCAGCACATTTCAACCTTACAACGGGCCGAGCCACAAATCAAGTGGGCTATTCAGAATTGGCATTACGAGGAGAAGAAGACCAAAGACAAGAATGGCAAGGAACGCACTGAGCGAAAACGTGTGAACACGCATTACGCTGAAAGCTTCTATGATATCCAGGGCTTCCTTGATGAGACTTTGTCGCCCTTACAGATGTTGGCGATGTTTCACTTACTCTATGATGCCCAGGATGAGCACGAAAGCCTTCTGAGCCCTCAACGGTCACCCCGTTGGTCAAAACCAAGCAGGTCCTGGTTTGGGCGGGTTTGGGCGGGTAGATGTTTCTGTTTCCCACACAGTGTGTCAATCCCCTTTGGGGAATACCCCGTGGAAAACTAACATGAACCCTGAAAATCATTGGTTGGTAGAGGAAATCAGTCTTTCAGGGTCCCATTCTCAGGGTCTAGGTGAGTTTTCGGGTGTTTTTTTCCTGGTTCCTGGAGCAAATCCAGGTCGTTGTTCTTACTCTGCGAGATGCCGCTGGATTATCGCCCAGTGGACCAGGAAGAAGAGCTCCGCATGAAACGCCTGCAAGAGGAGTTTTATCGAAAGAATACCTGTGATACAAATCAGGAGACCTGGACTGTTCTTTCTCGGACCTTCCTGCAGGGATCATGGAATTGTCCTGGACAATCAACAGATGCAGTTGTAGGGTGTAAAAGGGAAGCTTGTTTTCTTGTTTGGTCCGTCAAATGCACCCCTATCCCAGGAGAAGAGCGAGGTGAATCTCATTCGCTGCGACTACCAAAGTCATGTGATGGTGATTCTAAAGGAAGGAATCTCGGTTCCAAAACCAACCCTGAAGAATCATCGTCTCATGTGCTTGGGTTTCCCGGTGTTTTTGTTCCTGTTCTGCATCTAAGCAAGTACTTGTTTCTAGTCCAGATGAGCCCTTAGGGGTTTGGAGCTTGGTGGGGCTGATTCTGAGGCACAGACAACAGTGATGAGAGGCCATGGTGGATGCATTTTAGGGTCTATGTGCTTGCGACCTTCTTCCTCTTGAGCTTGCCATACAGGTGCCAAGCATCACCCTGTGTCAGAAGATGAGATGCATCACCCTGGTTAGCGCCCTCAAAAAAGACCGGTTACATCCGGTTACCTTTGGATATACTGTATAAAGAGTAGGTCGATCCTATGGGGGATCCCAATTTTGAGGGTCTATCGGTCTATCTTGATTTTCCCAAAGGTCCCTGCCAACCAGTTGCCAGTCTCAACCTGTGATAAACCATTGGAAGAATAACAGACGACTAAGGTGCATCTTCTTCCGCGAATGCCAGAAGATCACTTGGGAGGTGCTGAAGCACATCTCCCACCGCCCGATCACCCTGTGGACTGCCCCACCTCAACATCGACGAGCCCTTCGGAGGGATTTCGCCTCGCAAGCGTATCGGGCCGTGCGAGCTGAGCTTGACGAAGGGGGAGCTGGAGCATCCACACCGGGTCTCGCGAGCACCGGGGCATTCGCAGGTCCCACGTCGCTCACTGTGGAGAGGGTGGAGACGGAGGCCGATGTGGCTTCAGGTGGGTTCGGGATGGGCGGGCAAATCCAAGATGCTCTGAGTGATGCTTGACCATTTGTTTCCAATTAAGATCTGGAAATGGTCAAAGTGGGCTGTCGACTGTTGATGAGTGGGATCTTGTACTTGATTTCGTTCTTTGCAGGTGTGCCCTGGTATTGGAAGAATCGAGATTTGAGCCAGGGATTTGATGAGAAGATCAACTTATCACCTGGTGACTGCCAAAAAGTGCAAGAGCTCCTGGACCAGACCTTTCAGCACAAAGGCACTCGAGATCGAAAAGATCGTCTACCTTCAAGACTGCTGGTGTCGCAGGTGATCCGGATGGAACACAGCAGACTCTGGCAACGTTTCGAGAGGAAGAAAAAAGAACCTTAGCCATATCCACACTCCGACTCCTACGAACCCCCCTTTCAACCACCCCAACTGATCGGCATATATGCCACACATGGAGTGTGGCGTTCGAATATCAACGTTCCCCTTCTCCCACCATGTCCTGGAGCATGTGTCACCTATGTGCCTTTTCGCTCTCCACCGAGGACCTGGCCGCTCGTGTGGGGCGTCCGCCGCTGATCAGCGAGCTCCCGGGCAGTGGTGCCGTGAAGACGGCGTTGGAGCTGCCGGCTTTCGCGGCGGGACCGGAGCTGCCGGCGTTTTTGAAGGAGATCACTCGGGCGCCTCATTGGTGGTTTGGGAACATATGTTTTTTTTCTTCGGGTAAAGCCTGGATGTTTCTTTTTTGTTATAAGTTTCGATATTATTTGTTGTTTCTCATGGGAAAGTTATGCGTAGATATGAGGGTCCAATTGTTTGTAGAGTGATTTCTGGGGATCGTTGAAGCCAACTAGGAGCTGAATGAAGCCTTTCTATTCCATGGTTCCTCTCCCGGTGGGGCTCTGGGCATTGGCGAAAATGGTTTCGACATCAGTCGTGCTGGTTCAAGCACGGGCTCCATGTTTGGCGCTGGTGCATACTTGGCTGAAGCATCCAGCAAAAGTGATGAGTATGCCACGGAAGATCCCAGCGGTTTGTTTGGGGGAAAGCTGGCCCTTTTGCTTTGTCGCACGCTCTTGGGCAACGTCTTCTATATCACGGAGTCAAACCTTCGCAGAATCCAAGAAGCTTTGGAGACACACAGCTTTGATAGCATCCTGGGGGATCGAGAAGCGGCCATTGGCACCTATCGAGAATTCGTGGTTTGGGATGAGGCACAGATCTATCCCGAGTACGTGGTGATTTACCAGCGACACTTTGAGTGAGAACGATCAGGGGTGAGAACTTGGGGTGATCATCAATTGTACTTGGAACACTGGGTGACGGAGAATACATGGTCTGTCAGGGGGTCTGAAAAACCACCCAGAGTGGGTGGTCCGGAAGCAGTTGCACCGTGCTTTTGGTGACCTACAAGTTGTGCTCCCGAGTTGGCGTCCGACCGACCAGCAGGTGGCTCTCACATGGTCCATGAAGGAGTGGACAAAGCACCCTCCCCAAAAGGGGTATCGCTCTCAAAAAGGCAGGTGAGCAGGAGTCCTTCGTCCCAAATTCAAAGCCTTGAGCAGGAGTTCGAAGATTTTGCTTGCTGCAATGTGTTGCCTTTTAGAATCTTTGGGGGGTTCATGAAAGTGGCCATGAACTCTTATAGTCTTAGTCTAATCTGCATCTCTGTTGAGCCTCCCTGGCCGAACCCATCGACCAAGGTCAACCGCTACGAAGCGGAAGTGGCACAGGTGCGGTTGGCCGGCGGTGTTATTTCAAGGGTCGAAAAGCTGAGGAAGCAAGGCCTAAAGGCCTAAGGACCCGATGATCGCCGATGTATATGTTTAATGGGTGTTCGTCCGATGTTGGGCAAGACGCCTCGCATGGAGGACATTTCACCGCAGGCATGAGGTGACCATTTTTCGGTCTTGCAGGATTATATATTCTGTAGAGCTTCTATAGAGATCTATAGACTATAGAATACTATAGAGTGACATGTTTAGCTTGTGAAACGAGGTAGGAACACCTCTCGAGAACGAGATGGGTATCCACACACCAAAACGAGATACAGGAATGGAGAACGAGATCACACACCAAAAACGATGCGGGATTGGAGAACGAGGTAAGGAAGGTCCATGTGATAGTTTAACGGAAATAGATTCCATCGCTCATATATGTTCATGGTGTTTTGACATGGTCGGACGTGTCGCAGGGGTGTGTAGCTCCGGGGCGTGAAGCGTCGATGGCGCCTGGGAAGAGGAGAGCTTCCTCCGCTACTTTCCCACGAAGAATGGGAATCCTTGGCCTGGACCTTGGGCATCAGAGGTTGGAGGGGTTGACAGATCGAGGGGGTGCAAGGAAGCTGCTTCCATGTTGAAGGAAGGGTTCACCATGGTTCACCAGTGTCAACAGTTTCGGGGGGGAATTGCGGTGAGATGCGCTTGGAGCGTCCATATTTTGATCAAACCCCCCTTGTGGAGATTTAGTCCACATGCCATCAGCTCAATGTCATGTTTGCTGTTCCTTTGCCAAAACACCCCCCTGGGGATGCTTCACATCCATGCGACCTGTTTAGAACCAACCCGGCAGCAACCCAACCCAGCTCCATCTTTCTCACCCAGCTCCAGCAACCGGTCCGCTCCGACACGTGAAAAGCGGTGCACGTGACAAGCGCCAGGAGCAACGAGAAGATCTTGGAGGCGCTCGCCGACTTCGGTCTCAAGGCGCCGACTTCGGTGTTCCAACATGGCCGCCTTTCTTTTGTACACGCTGGTCGCCCCGCCGCTAGGGATGCTGGTGGGATGTGCTTTTGTTGCTTTTAAACCAGCGTGGTCCCAGAAATGGATCCCTTAAGAGAAAACAGGGGTGTCAATGAAGGCGAATATCGGTGCGTGCAGTAGTGGCGCGCCCACTACTGGGGCGCCGGGAGCGAGCCGGGACTCGTGGCATATGCTGCTTTTCAAGGTCGACTTGAATGGGGTGAGGGGTGACGGTTGAAAGTGATGAAGTGATGGTCATGATGGTCGTCCGACGCTTGATGGGCTCTTGTAGCGTTATAAGCCTCAATATGCCTCAATAATCCTCAATAGGATATGGTGCCACTGGATGCATTGGTCACCAGATGTCATAAGGACTCATAAGGACATACAAGGACTCTTAGACTATATATTTTGTTCACACTGGGAGTATCTCTACTTGGACCCATCTCTTTTGCATCTTCAATAACTGCACAGCTGCTTCAACAGTGCGTAACTTGCGGACCGAACGCGATCTCTGCGCGGAACTCGCCGGGCGGATGCCGCGAGACAGGCTCAGAGCCGGACGGAGAAGATCGCCTTGAACACGGTGCTGCCACTGGGCCGCCAGTCCCGTCGATGGACGTCCCGTCGTCTTCCTCGTCTTCCCGCGACAGCAGTGGCCGGTGTGGAGCGGAGAGGGCCCCCGGGAGGAAAAATCCACCGGAGAGGACGACCCTCTGAAATCAGTGGGGGTCGAAGCGAGACGTCTAAGGAAAACGCTCTCCCCGTCTCGCCACAAAAAGGGCGGGGGTAGCGGGGTAGTGTGGTTAGCTGGAGCTTCTCTCAAGTTGAGAAGCGCATGAGCCAAAGTCAGAATAGGTCTTTTGACCGTTCTGCAGACCATTCAGTGTCTTTAGCTTTAAAGTCAGCAGGAACTTACGCAGCACATACGACGGCCCCTTGGACCTACTAGTAGCGCTGATTTTCTTTCAGAGCCACCAGATCACCATGGCCAAACTGGGGGGTGCCACTTGTACGGCATGCCATTTCAAAACGATGCATATAAAAGTCAAATTAGGATAACGTCTATTAACGTCTACTCTTAGATGAATCGATATGAATCGTTTGATTTTGAAGGAATTGTTATACACACATGTATCTTAATTTGACTTGATTTATTTGGTATCCTACTAGGTTTCAGAAAAGCATCATATATCAATGAATCATATTTAGTCATCAATGATTAGATCATATCTATATATTAGTTTATCCGAGCATCCATCAAAAACCATTAGCATGAATCTTGTGAACATCTCACCTGCGCTCAGGACTGAGAACGAGGTCGGATGGACTGTTGTTTCCATCGCCTGCCGTTTCCATCGCACGGATGCAGTCTCCCAGCGGATGAGCCATAGTCCAGAACTAGTAAACAATGTAAAAGCCAGTTGAACGTGTCGGTGCATGATTTTGGAGGGAACAGATGGCTTTGGCTTGACGAAGAAGACGAAGCTGCGGAAGATTGTGCTTGATGAAGTAACAGCCTTTGATTTGGATTGTGAAGGCTCTTCACATGGAGGGTTGACATATCAACAGTCCACTGTCCACTGTAACCATCCAATTGGATCCATTCGGGCGTAGCTGGATGTCTTGGGCATTTTTGTCGGCACGTTTCGCTGATGAAAAAGCACGGCACGGTCCTTTCGGGGGTGTCGTGTCGCGATCGGCATGTCTCCAGACGTCCTAGGGCTGATTTTTGCTCCACGTCACAGGGTTCACCACTATTTCGGGAAGAGGGCGAGGGGGGGAATTCTCTCTCCTGGTTTCAAAGAGGTGAATGTGTGTGTGTGCGCGTGAAAGTGGCGTTGGTGTCCGGTATTGCCCTGACTGGTGCTTAGTAAGTTGTTTTTTTCGGAATGAGGGAAACAATGACGCACAACTTGTATAGTGGGCTGAGAGTAGATGGCGCAATCCCCCAAAGGTGGTTTATATGGACCCCCATCTAAAAGAGACCTTGGGGTGCCAGTGCCATCTACTCTGTGACCAATTTTCTCAGGATGGGAGTTAGTTTTGGGGTGCCAGGAGAACACTTTTGGCTTCAATGCCTTCTGCAGCCTGATCGAGGAGGCGGGTTCAGCGACAGCCAGACAGGCTTCGCAGCTCGCAACGGCTGGAGATGTGCTGAAGTCTGGGAGACCGCTGCTTCGTTCTTTAGAGGAGCCCTATCTATAAATATGTGTACATGTAGAACCGACACATGTCACATGTCACATATAAAGAAGTGTGCACGAACGTTCATCTACGATCAGTCTATGATGTTGGTATCTGTTGGTTCTGACGTGCAAGCAACTGATTCTAGCGGCATTGACCCTACTCTGGACAGGGACTCCTTACCTTTGTGGACTTTGACTGGTATATGTTTTGTATTGCTTTTCTGTGGACGAAACCATGGGCTTTCTTCTCAGCTTGAAAGAACAGAACATACCCTTCCTCTAACAGTCATGGAAATGGAAACACAGGGGCTTCGTTTGTTGGAGGGAGTAAAAACATTTGCTCTGCGCTCGGATCGTCCTTTGCCTCCCACGCCGCACACCTCTTGCTGGAAGAGACTCCTCCGCCCTTCTGCCAGGCGCGTTGCAAGCTTCGGGCCAGCCGCACACACCAAGCAGGGCCTCTCAAAGAAGCTATTATATAGGTCAGTCACAACTTCACTCCCACAATGGCTTCCACAGTGCACAAGTTCACTGTCTGCGTGTTTGGTTCTAGTTTAGCTCCTCTGTCACCATAGCTCCACTGCCAGGGCCAATTCATTCACAGTTTCACATAACCTCGCATCAAAGTTCTTGTCTTAAGGTTGCACCTTTTGACCACTCGAGCCGCTGGCAAACTCATGACTTTAGACTCTAGACTGTGACAATTTCAGCATGGTTCATCTTGACCAAGAAATGAGTCCATTAAATCATGCAAAGAACTTCCACACATCGGTCACAGCCACAGATAGCTATGAATCATCATCTATCGAAACAATTTGGTCTCCGAGCACGTCAATCATTTACCAGAAGTCTTGGATTGCCTTTTCTTTTTCGAGACTGATAGCTGCTGTTTTCATGTTTCGCTTCCTCCATGCTTGTGTCACTGCTGTGTCTTCAATTCGGACACTTCACCCGCTGATGCAGGTTTCAATGTCCCTTTGAATAGGCGAGAGAGGGCTACAATCCATTGGCCTCCACAGATACCACCCCGATCAGAAGAAGCCCATCCCTCCGTATGTGACGAGTGCCATCCATCCTCCCGGGCCTTGCGATGGATGTGGCGCTCTGAGGTCTTCCAAGTCTTCAAATATGCTGACAAAGAGGCCCGCTTATGCTGCGCCCGTCTTCGCCACCTGCAGCAGCACTGACGTGCGTCGTCGATTTTGAGGTTCAAGGCGAAGATTCGGCTGCAACGCACCGGGTCCTTTTTGGTTGTTCTTGGGGGTCCGTGGATCGGGCCAGGCCCCGCGAACGGGGTCTTTTTGCCCGAAAAACACGCATCACAAGACGAACACCATCTTGAGGGTGGTTTTGGGGCAACATGAGGTGGCCCCTGAACGCGGGCGAACCTGCCGTGCATGCCTCAAAAAAGGTCCCGGTTACAGTAAGTGTCGGACATAGGTGTCGGGTCGACGAGTTGAGGAGAGACGTTGGGGAACGGACGGCAGAGTTCGGAGAGGTCTCAGCAGTGAGATCAGCAGGTGGCGGGAATTTGGGGGATGAAGGAGAGGGTGACCTTGTTCAACTGGGTTACAACCACCAGAAGGTG